AAATGATTCACTCGCTTAGCTTAGTCAAGAGGTGTTAGGTTAATGAGACATAAGACTGCTTAAGGGTGTTACTCAACGTGTAATGAACAAAAATTTAAATTTAGAAAAACTACAAAAGTTACAAAGTGTAACAACAGCAAAAGAAAACTTTGAAAAGGCAAAAATCAACAATAATAAGATAAATTAATTTACAACGTTAAATTTACAAGAAAAGAAAATCAATTGAAAATATAAAAGAATTAGTTACTGACAAATTACATGACTTGTTTGTTTTACAAAACTTTAGTTATATAATTTATTATTTTTACATACTGTTAATTGTCCCAGAAGCACACACACCGATACACGCACTCCCAAACTCCCGATCTTCTTTCTCCGGTGGCCCGTGGTGATCTCCTCGATTCTTTCCTTCAGATCCTCCAGCTCCAAGAGTCTTGACCCCTCCATCTTCTTCATTAGCCCTTCTCATTGGCTGATTACCGATAGGGTGTGTGGCTTATAGGTTAACGGTGTTTCTTGGAAGTCAGCCCTACCGGTCATCGCCTAGCTCACGTCAGCTGGGAAAGGAATTTGTAAATCGATGCTCATGCTACTGTTCAACTCTGTTCACACCAACTGGTCGACTAAGTGTAATGTGAACAGAGTGTCTGCATAGATGAGCACCGTGGGTACGGGGTTAATCCCCTTTCTTACAAGGTAAATGTTACAGATGCGGCAGTACTCAACATAAAGCTGATACTTGCAAATTTAAAAATGAATTTTGTTGGAAGTGTAACAAGATTGGACACATTGCGAATGTTTGTCTCACACGCATAACAACTTGAAACACCAAAAACAAACCAGCCAAAACAGTGACACGTTTTTCTCTAACGTTTAACCAGAGAGTCCTGGTTATAAGTCAGGAAATGTTTGTAGAAAACATTAAAAAGCAATACCAGGTATGAAACATGATACAATATTTACAGGAAATGTTGATTACTGTTATATACATCGTGAGTATCTCCATGAGTTACACACCGGTAAAACTTTGAGTTGATTCTTTTAAACTCATTGTAAATATGATTGTTTTGAAATAACTCATGTAATACTTTGCAATTGCTCGAATTCGAGCAACATGTACACTAGTAAAATCATTAATCTGCATTACACTGATGAAATCATGGAAGTGTTTAGCTACAAAAGATCCACCAATACGATTATAATACTATTTAAAGGTTCTTCCAAAGGAAGAGATACCAGATTACATTCTAAAAACCCCGATGACGTACAGTATGGGAAATATTTTATTCGTTGAATGATCAACCATATTTGGTAACTAACGCAATAAATATAATTATTGTTTTACACTTATTAATCTTTAAACAATGCTAAATGCTCAAAATGTGTATAATTTCACTCAATATATCACATTTATGGTTAGATGAATTAGCGTAAGCCTTGAATGTAACCGTCGATTTCGACGGGTTTCACATAGTTACTAATTAATACTAAAAATACCCAATTATAACATGTAGAAAACCATATGGAACACTCTCATATCGTTTGATTGTCTCCGTACAAGTCATAGAGCCGGCAGTGAATACAGAGATAGGCCTAGCAATCAGCCCTTGTACTGCTGTGTTTGGCGAACGCCATGTGGGCCTTTACGGTCCGTCCAGAGTGCACGCCGATTCAGATTCAGATTAAGATTTTCGGCGCTTGGTTAATCTGAGTCAGATATTTTGTTGGTGACCACAGCAGAAACAGGAAATACGCCTCGGGTTAAACACGGTTAGCAATGAAACAAGCCAGTCGTTGTTATGGAATTGTGGGATGTAGGCGCCTTAAAATAAGAAAAAAAATAGCTGAACCTAGAAATAATTAGAACACAGATAAAACCATTGTTGTTTGATAGTGAAAGGTATTGTGAATGACATATCAAAAGTCTCCAAAAATATCTTTGGTGGAACACCACCATTTTTCCAAAATGGCGGCCAAATCCAGTTTTTTTTGCTTTTTATTAAAATTCGGACTTTCCAGTCAATATTGGTGAAAAGTCGTAAATATATTTAATGTTCCTCCTGAAATTACCTTTAAAATGATACCAAATACATGTGCCAACAACCAAAAGCAAACCCCGTAGAAATAATAAAATATTTCAAATTATAATATTTTTATACATTAATGTAATAGTTCAAGCAAACTAAAAAAAATAGACTCAGGGATCGTATAAAAAATTGCAAGAGAACTTTTTATGGTTTTATTTTTATTGTTGGGTATGCAGAATAACATACTAAAAGTTGCCAAAAATCAGTCCTCGGGAAACCCTTGAAATAATTATTAAAAATGGCGGTTTTTCCCAACATCGGAATTATTTTGAAAAAAAGGCCACATGCTTTATGGCAAATTTGTCGAGATATTGAGTTAGGATCACCACCAATATTTATTGGGTGGTCAGTACTTCATTTCGATAGTAAACACGTTTTTGGCCGCCATCTTAGATCCGACATATTGGATATAAATATTTTTATATGTAATTATAGTGTTGTGACACAACATTATGAACTAGATTTCCATGCTGATTTCAATGCTGAAATCCGTTTTTAAATACTTTTTTTTTCTTAAAATATATTATAACAAAAACTCTCTACCATTCACTACTTATAATTTGAATACTTATTATTATTATTATTAAATTACACTACTTATTATTAGGGACGTTTCGTACTGTGAATAGGTATGTGTTTAGATTATTTTTCTCAGATTCTTATTGATGCTTGCAGTTTGTTCTAGCATTTAAATATTCAATGATATAAGAGCTTTTATTTTAGCCATTGATAGTTAAAAGCATGCTAGTTAGAGACGAGGTACAAACCCCAACACAATATTAAATTTACCTTTTTTTAAATCAGTTTTTATTAAAGATTTATATCTCGGGTTGTTAATATGTCTCCAAGTTCGTTCTAGTATCAAAGTACTCAGTAAAATGATTGGCTTTAATTTTATTGATCATTAAATGACATCTGACAAATTTAAAACGAATTATGTAGGCCTACCTTCAATGAACCTTAAAAATTATTATTTTTTAATTTGTCTTTAGTTAAAGACATATACAGGGTTAGTAAAAAGTGTGGAGACACCCTGTTATTTTTTTAACGGCCCATTCATACTAGAAAAACTAAACTCGGCACACCATTATGGCATGTTATGAAGTACTTTTTGGGCATAACCGTTACTTAGTGTTCATCCCCAAAATGGGAAATTTTGGGGGAAACTCAAATGTTTTAAACACAAAGACCCATCGAGTGACCCCTCATTTTAAAGGTCCTGGTAAGAGAAAACCAACATCGCAAATTAGAGGTCTCTATCTCAGTTCAGTAAAAAATGGCAGCCAATTGAAATTCTCATAAGTTCCCAAACCCAAAATGGGGGATTTTGGGGGAAACTCAGAAATTTTAAATGATAAGCCCCATCGAGTGATCCCTCATTTTGAAGGTCATAATAAAGGAAAACCAACAACGTAAACTATAGGTCTCTAACTTAAAACAGTAAAATATGGCAGCCAAATGAATATAAAATTGCAAGTTATTTCCGATTTCTAAAGATTTCAATCAGCTTCCATTTTTTACTGGATTGAGATAGAAACCTCTAGTTTGCGTTGTTGGTCTTCTTTTACCGGGACCTTCAAAATGAGGGGTCACTCGATGGGTCTTTGTATTTGAAATGTTTAAGTTTCCCCCAAAATCCCCCATTTTGGGGATGTACTTCATAAGATGTCATAAAGGTGTGCCGAGTTTAGTTTTTCTAGTATGGGCCGTTAAAAAAATAACTGGGGTCTCCACACTTTTTACTAACCCTGTATATCCCCAATTCCAAATAATTTCCAATAAGGAATCCATTGCTAAAATAAAAGTTAATACTTTAACGAATAGCTACAGTATGAGGAGTTTTTCCCGTTTTCACTCTGCACACCCAACACTACAAAATAAAACCATAAAAAGTTTTCTTGAAATTTTTTATACGATCCCTGAGTCTGTTTTTGTACTTTTCTTGGACTATCACATTAATTTATAAAAAATATTATTATTTGAAATATTTTATTATTTCTACGGGGTTTGCTTTTGGTTGTTGGCACATGTATTTGGTATCATTTTAAAGGTAATTTCAGGAGGAACATTAAATGTATTTACGACTTTTCACCAATATTGACTGGAAAGTCAGAATTTCAATAAAAAGCAAAAAACTACTGGATTTGGCCGCCATTTTGGAAAAATGGTGGTGTTCCACCAAAGATATTTTTGGAGACTTTTGATATGTTATTCACAATACCTTTCACTATCAAACTACAATGGTTTCATCTGTGTTCTAATTATTTCTAGGTCAAACCATATATTCAGGGGCCTAATGAGGAATTAACGTGTACAGTAAAATTATAGCGTCTGAAACGGTTATGAAGTTACAGCAGGTGAAAACTGGTGTTCATGATATTAGGCCTACATATCTCTTTTCCTACAGCTAGAAATGATATAGCTTCTTTATATATTGCGTTGAGTGGGAACCACTGAAACATATTATTAAAATTGGACATCGTATTGTAAGAAACTGGTGTAACCGAAGTTTCGGCTTTGCCAATTCTTATATTTTTTAGCGTATTTTCCATTTGACCGAAATGGACTGGAATGGAATTCACTGTATTTATGAATTTGTTTTATATTTAATTTAAATTATTTCATAAATAATTGTAAAATCGTAAGGACAGTGGGTGAGTCTCTCAATAGGAAACACACGCACGTAAAATTGAAATATTCGTGGTCAGTGATCACTGGCCACTTTGTCAGTTGTAAAGAAAGGAGAATTGTAATCAAAGAAACAATGTGCTGAGCTTGGCACCTTCTATTTTGTTTTCTATTATGTGTGGTCTATTCTCCAATCCTGGTAGTTATCGATAGAATGTTCACACTTGCCTAGTTTAAGCATTATTAGTGTTCTTACCAATGGTGTACCAAAGCTATGCTTGGCAGGTCAGACTTTGGGCCTCTGTTTGAGCCCAAGCACGAGCCCAAGCAGCCCCATGATGTCGCTGATGTGCTGCTGTCCCTGAAACACGCTGTGGTACATCCAGGACAAGCCTCGCCCACCTACTACCCCCAGGCACAGTGTGGGGTTGCTCCTAGTCCCACTGCTTCTCTCTCTTACACAGTACACCCTCATCAGGTAGACCCATAGAATCATGAACCAGTCAAAATAATCTAACTAGGCAATGTCATTTTACTCTGTATTGTTTGGATTAACTTAGGTAAGGAAATAACGAATAAATCAATAAATGGATTGGCTATAGAGTTCATAGAAGAGAGCCATATGATGCCAAAATACCATTGCTTAAGGCTTTATTAGGACAATGATGAGCAAAGAATGACTATTGAATGTATAAGATGATATAGTCAATGTTGATAGCTTTGATACTGTGGTCACTGGTTTTTTAGCCTGAAACATATATCTATCTATCTATTCTATCTATCTATCTATTCTATCTATCTATCTATTATATCTATCTATTTATTATATCTATCTATCTATCTATTCTATCTATCTATTTATCTATCCATCTATCTATCAATCAATCAATCAATCTATCTATCTATCTAACCATCTATCTATCTATCTATATATATATACATCTATATACAGTATATATATATATAATACGGTAAGCCGATTTTTGTGAACAGAACTCCTCCCTCACTTTTGGACCGATTTTGATGATTAAAGTGTCAAAAATATGGCCCTGATCTGTAGTTTTGCAAAGTGTTTTTATTTTTTTGAAATCTTTATTAGTTTGGGCTGGATCTTCCATCAAAGTTGAGTTTTCTCCCATAAGATTAACATGGGAGAATCTTAATACTTATTTGGAAACTTTGTGTCCACTAATTTAAGAGAACGACTGGGCGTAGAAACTTGGTAGAGGTGTAAAAAGAAAGGTCTTGGTCTGTAGATGAGTTATCAAAAGAAAAACAAAGTAAGTTCCTTTAGGGCTCTTTTCCAGAAGCCTTTAAAAGATCCCTCCGCAGATTTGTTTACATTTTGACCATATGGATAATACTTTTTAATGAAACAGCTGTTAATTTTTGAGCGGAGCGAGCGAAGCGAGCGAAGCTCTTATACGTCGACTTTTATGCATTTCGTAATACGCAAACTCCTCCTAGACGGCTGAATCAATCGTTTTCAAATTTTGCATGGTGATAAAGACCATACCGGTGAGTGCCAACATCTATATAGCGTTAAAAAAAGTCTCTCAGGAATCCGCCCCACCGGGTCTCAAAGTTTCAATGTAATCCTTATGGAAGCAGTATTTGACACATAAACAACATATGATCAGCTGTTGACTTTTGAATGCAGTCGATAAATAAATAGCTGATAGCATTATTCCACAGTCATTAGAACATAAACGGTGGTATGGATCATAAATATAATCAAATGACGCCACTAGCTTGAGGTCCGTGACGTAGAAAGTGGTGAAGGAAGTAGTAAAGGTGAGCATTCTGGAGTGTGGAAACTGTTTAAGATTATTAGATTTAGGTAGGTATCTGCATTCCTAAACTTCTATGGGAAGGGAGGGAAACGGTGTATGACGTAGGAAGTGGTGAAGGAAGTAGTCAAGGCGAGCTGTCCGTAGTGTGGGAACTGTTTGTGACAATTAGATTAAGGTATCTGCAATCCTAAAATGTTATTGGAAGGGAAGGAAACAGGTCTACGACGTAGGATGTGGTGAAGGAAGTAGTAAAGGCGAGATGTTTGGGGTATGGGATCTGTTACGACCGTTAGATTAAGGTATTTGCAATCCTAAAATGCTATTGGCTATGGGAAGGGAGGAAAACAGGTCCGCGACGTAGAAAGTGGTGAAGGAAATAGTCAAGGCAAGCTGTCCGGAGTGTGGAAACTGTTTATGACTATTAGATTAAGGTATCTACAATCCTAAAATGCTATGGAAAGGGAGGAAAACAGGTCCGCGCGATGTACGAAGTGGTGAAGGAAGTAGTAAAGGCGAGATGTTCGGGGTATGGGATCTATTTATGACCATTAGATTAAGGTATTTGCAATCCTAAAATGCTATGGGAAGGGAGGTAAACAGGTCCGTGACATAGGAAGTGATGAAGGAAGCAGTAAAGGCGAGTTTTTCGGAGTGTGGGAACTGTTTATGACGATTAGATTAAGGTATCTGCAATCCTAAAATGCTATGGAAAGGGAGGGAAACATGTCCGTGACGTAGGAAGTGGTGAAGGAAGTAGTAAAGGCGAGTTGTCCGGAGTGTGGGAACTGTTTATGACGATTAGATTAAGATATCTTGGTATCTACAATCTTAAAATTCTATGGGAAGGAGGGAAACAGGTCTGTGAGGTAAGAAATAATTTGATAATTTGATAATTTATTTATTTATCCTGCCCTGGCTTAGACCGAAGGTCCACTCTTCCGCCAGGACAGGCTCCACAATTTTACAATGTTTTTTTCTAATTACAAACTGTTTAGGTTTAACCACTATTTATAGAAAACACAAATATAACATATTATACTATATTCTGATTTAAAAATAAAATTAAAGTATTCTTCCCTTTACTTTCTAAATAATACAACACTTAATAAAAAGAAAATATCGTTTCAGTTAATGTTCTACTTTACAGATTGTTTTGTTCTTAACTAGTATCGATTCAGCATTAACATTTTTACCTTTTTTGTAAAACTGTTTTCTGATTCTAAACTTTTAATACTATTGTCTAGTCCATTCAAAAGTCTTATTGACGTCACAACAAATGAATTTGTGTATGTTTGAGTCCTATGAATGGGAAATTGTAAGATTTCCTGTCCAAATCTAGTCGTCCTTTGATGAACGTTATGCAATGTTCGATAGTATTCATTTAAGTATTCAGGCTTAGAGTATTTAATTATTTTAAATGCTAAACTCAAAACTCTTAACTCTCTTCTTTCTTTTACTTTGAGCCAACCCAATCTCTTATAAAAAGGTGTAACGTGTTCGTCATACCTCATTCTAAATATGTACCGAATACAAGCGTTCTGTGCCTTTTGTAACTCATTAGTTAGTTCATTATTAATATCACAGTATGACACAATAGCATAATCAATCACAGGGAATACAAGAGTAGAAATCAGTTTTTTTCTTATATCAAAGGAGGGTTGAAACCTGAGTCGTCTAAACTGGTACAGATGTTTATAAATAGTCTTAACAACATGATTTACTTGGCTACTCCATGATAGGTTACTGCATATTCTTAAACCTAAATTAACCACTTCGGACTCCAATCTTAAATCTTGATTGCTTATCTTAATAGGAGATATATTTTCTAATATAATTGAATTTAGTAACCTCTGATTTCCTACAATCATTGACTTACACTTACCTACATTCAAGTTCAAACCATGGTCTCTACACCACATGTTAATAGTTTCTAAATCAGCATTAAGCTTATTTACAGATTCGTTAATCTTAGTTAGCTCACAATGTATGTACAACTGCATATCATCTGCATATAGCATAGTTTGGCAAAACATTATATTATCACTAATTCTGTTTATATATAAACTAAATAACAAAGCAGACAATGTAGAACCTTGTGGAACCCCTACAGAGTTCAACATCCACTGTGATACATTTCCACTACGAGTTTTAATCTGTTGCAATCTATTAGATAAATAGGATTCAAACCATTTAACTGAGTTAACATTAAAATTATATGACTTTAAAATAGCCAACAACAAATCGTGGTTAACACAGTCGAAAGCACGACTGAAATCTAAAAGCGTAAGTACAGTTACACGTCTACAATCTATTGCTTTTCTCATATCATCGGTCACTTTAATAAGAGCCGTTTGGGTACTATAGAACTTTCGGTAACCTGATTGGTATCTAGACATAATATTATTACGATCTACAAAATCTCTTATTTGTGAGTACACTAATTTGTCCAACAGTTTTCCTAATACACATAAAATATTGATTGGACGATAATCTTTACATAGCAACGGATTCTTATTTTTAGGCAAAGGCACAATTAAAGCTTTTTTCCACTCACTAGGATAAACACAACAAGAAATTGAGTAATTGAAAATATGACACACTACATGTTTAATATCATCAAATATCAACTTTATAAATCTAACATGAATGCCATCGGATCCAACGGCATTCGATGATATCTGATTAAGAGCATGTGAAATTTGATCTACAGTAATATTATCAAAAACAAAAGATTCCCTATCTGCCCTCCATTGAGTGGTACACTCATTGATAAGATTATTATTGACTCGATTCTCAATCCCGCAAAAATAGGTATTCAAACCGTCTAAGTTTACAACTGGATCCTGTACAATATTAGCTTGTTTACCAGTTCCATGTGTCTTTAGGGCTGTCCAAATTTGCTTGTTGGTCTTATCAGGACTAAGAATTGAATTTAAATGTCTATTGCGTTCATCTCTAATCATACGCTTAATTCTATTCCTTAATAATCTATAGCTTTCCCAAATGTTTACATTTTTTGACCTTAAGAAGAGGTGAAGGAAGTAGTAAGGTGAGAAGTGTGGAGTTTGGGAACTGGAAACAGTTTGTAGCAGTTAGATTAATGTATCTGCAATGCTGAAATGCTATGAGAAGGGATGGAAGCATGTCCACGACATAGAAAATGGTGAAAGAAGTAGTAAAGGCTAGCAGTGCGGATCGTGGGCAATGTTTGTGACAATTAGATTAACGTATCTAAATACTAAAATGCTATGGAAAGTGATGAAAACAGGTCCACGATGTAGGAAGTGGATTATGAAGTGATGAAGTATGGACATATTGTGAGAACCGTCTGTGGCAGTTAGATTAATGTATCTTCAATCCTAAAATGCTATGAGAAGGGAAGGAAACAGGCCCCACGACGTAGGAAGTGGTGAAGGAAGTGGTAACGGCTGGTAGTGCAGAGTGAAGGAACCGTTTGGGCAGTTAGATAAATGTATTTAATACTAAAATGCTATGGGAAGGGAAGGAAACAAGTCTATGACGTAGGAAATGGTGAAGGAAGTGGTAAGGCTTGCAGTGCATAGTGTGGGAACTGTCTTTGGCAATTACAATGTATCTGCAATCCTAAAATGCTATGGGAAGAGAGGGAAACAGGTCTACGGCGTAGGGGTGGTGAATGAAGTAGTAAAGATGGGCAGAGTTGAGT